TGTATCGTGAGGCTCTTGGTTCGGACATGGATGGGCTTGGAAGATGTCTCATAGAGGCCGGGGTGAACACCCTGGACATCAAGGTGAGATATACAGTGGTGTAGGTGTAGTGTACACGTAAATTTTTGGTAGAACGCATGACGGTGTGCAAGCAGAGGATACAGCTGCCGGAATGTGATGGGTGGTGCCGTCTCATGACCGGAGTGCTCAGTTACATGTGTTATGTAGGTGCACACGGCGCTGGCGATTCCAAGAACACGTGGAGGGGAGCTGGTGGCCAAGGGCACATTTGTGAAGGCCAGCCCATCAGAGAACTGGTTCTCAGATGTGGCAATGAAGACTGAGGAGAAGAAGGAGAAGGAGAAGTCGAAGGAGAAAGAGTGGTACGCAAGGTGCTTGTGCGTGTTCCGTGCGAAGAACGCAGAAGGAGAGGAAGGGGCGTACGTGTACGTCAAGTATTATGAGGCGGCGGGCCTATGCCCAGTCACAACATGTGTGCAGCTGACGCCTGGGAGGGTGGACACCCGGTACGCTGTGGTGGACGTGGAGTGCATCAAGCGGGTGGTGCACGTGTGCAAGTCTCACGTCAACAAGAAGGTGCTGCTGCTGAACAAGTTCCTGTTGTGCGAGTAGTTGGTGAGGTATGAGGTTGGACGCGCTCACGGACGTGCCTATAGGGGAATTACTGGCTAAGTTGTTAATGTTGTTGAAGCACATAGAGCAGGATGTGGCATGATAAGTTAGCAACATAGGTGCTCGGGGAGGATGATGTTATTGAGACTGTTAACGTCGTGGTTATGAACAAAGAGTTGAGGGGTAATGTACAATTATGCAATGTTGTGTCATGAAGCGAGGGTGTCTGAAATGCGAATGTTTGGGCGCGGAAGTTCTTTTTTTGACGGGCCGCGCTCAGTTTACCGGGGGGCGACTTGATGGCCGTGTGAAATTTGCGGTCCGAGGGTGGAGGGAACGGGAATTTGGGCATGGGGGTGTGCGTGACTTTCCTGTCACAAAATTGGTGGGACGAATATGGTGGGTTTGGGGACTTCGGTTTTTCGTGGAAAAACCCACGGAGGCCAAAATTGGGCGATCGACATTTTCGCGATGCATCGAGGCGCGCGAATCAGCCAAGAGCATGTAGCAGAGCGTGCGCTGCTAGCCTATGCTGCGACTCTGCGCTGCGACTCTGCGCTGCGACGCTGCGAGCCTATGCTGCGACGCTGCGCGCCTAACGCTGCGAACCTACGCGCGACGCTGCGAGCGCACACACGCTCTGCTGCATGCCTTGGGCTGACTCGGGCTTTCCAGAAGAAAATATCGTCGACGATATTGAGTTTTCTCGACTGAATGAAGTTGGATTGCACATGTTGTGGTTACTTGAGATAATCAGTTGGAAGGAATCGGGAGAAGGTTTGTGTGAGAGGTGGTGCCGAGTGCGCGAATCAGTTGGATGGAATCTCTGGTAAGGATGGGGATCGGGAATCGAGGGTGGGAAATTGCCGCCGCTAAATTCGAACGGCCTCGATGTAATCTCGTGCCATCCGCCGACGGCCATGCGGAACCGCCAAGATCATCAGCCCAGCATCTTTTGGCTTTGCGGAGAGTCACAATGACTGGGGTGATATGTTGGGAGCTACCGGTGCCTGGATTTGTGAATGTTCCTCGAGAGCTATGGTGGTGCAGTCAGTGCGAATCGTGGTCATTATATGGGGATTGTCAATCGAGGGTGATAAACTGTCGCCGTTAGATCTGAACGGCGTCGATGTAATCTCATGCCGTCGGCCGACGGCCGTGCGAGACCGCCAAAATCATCAGCCCATCATCTTTTGGCGTCCGGCGGAGTCAGAAAGACTGGGTTGATATATTTGTGGGAGAATTTGTGAATGTGCCTCGAGACGCATGGTGCTGTCTGTGCGAATCACGTTCGATGATTCTGAGGGTGGTAAATCGCGGCCACTAGTTTCGAACGGCCTTGATGTATTTTAGTGCCATCCGCCGTTGGCCGTGCGAGACGCCAAGATCACCAGCTCAGCATCATTTGGCGTTCAGGAGAGTCAGAAAGAGTGGGGTGGGGAGGGGATGTGTTTTGTGCGCGAGTTAGTGAATGTGTCTCGGAGAGGTGTGGTGTGGTGCTGCCTGTGCGAATCGCGGTCGACTCTGAAAGTCGATTTTGAAAGTAGTGAATCAAGGGTGGTAGATAACGCCGCAAAAAGTTAACGGCTTGGATTGAAGAGTGAGCCCTCCGCCGTCACGCGGCCAGACCGCTAAGTCAATTGGTTCGACTTGGAGTGGAGTTTAGGACGCGTCACCTCTTTCTTCAGGAGGGCGATCGATCGTGCACACGATCGGTGTGACGGGTGTGCAGTGATTTCGCGAGTTGACGAATTATACTGTATCCATGTTTCAGCGATATTGGAGAATGTACAGTAAATTGGTCACTACGAAGGTGTCACCTAGGGCTCACGCGAAAATCCGGCGATCGATCCTGCAGTTGTGGGAATCGGGCAATTTTGCCCCATGAATTCAAAATCTTGTCACCTGTGGCTCAGTGGGGCCCCGCGATCGAAAATTTGCAGTTGGGCACACCGATATGCACACCGATCATGGCAGGATCGGTGTTTAGCGTCGATTCTGCCTCGATCCTGCCAGTTTAGAAAGAGGTGACGCGTCCTTAGAACGATTGGCGCGAGGAAACAATAGGTGCGCGGATACTCGTTTGTAGCTGTTTCTCGTGTTGACATAACTGTATTTTGTTGAACACTTTCGTGCGTATTTTGGGCTCATTTTATTGCGTGCTGCTGTGCTTATGTACGAGTGTGGTACAAGATAGGGTCAGCCTTACCAAGGAGGTTCCGAGACGCGGGCAGGTTAGTAGTTGTCTGGACATAATGTTTTGCGTGAGTTACGGGACGGCAACAGCATGAAGCTGGAGACTTTTTGAATTTCCTGCTGCTGTGAACGAGTTAGGCCCTTGCTGACTCAGAATTCGGGCAGCTGAATCGGAACTGGCTGGATTTAAAACTTTGCAAGGACCAATCGGAACGGGAAACCGAGAGAGCAAAGAGAAGATGAGAAGACAGGGAACAGTAAAGCCAGGTGAAACGGTACACCTAGGGAAAATAGCAGATCACTGTAACGGGGGTTGGGTTGGTGCACCAACCACCCTCTCGCTAATATCGAGTCGACATTGTTCCTGCTGTGCTCGCTCAGCTCTTAGAACGTAGATTAGTCTCTCGTATGACTTGAACTTGCTCCTAGTGCCGCCTTGGTTGATTCCAGTTCAGATCTGACGACCGTTGCACGTTCCGTAGCTGAGGGTAGCAGTACGTTTCAGATGCTTACTATTTTCGAAAGTAGGAATGACAAGTCTATTTCGTAAAACCATTAGTTCGCGAAGGGACTATAGACGGAGGGCGAAATCCCACTCGTTGAGCTCCTGCAAGAGCGGTCACGCAAATCTGTACTTCTTCGCGTCGGAATTAGATCTGACGATCTCGCCCGTTTTACAGCTATACCTACAAACGCCATGTCCGTGTGAAGCGCGTCAGCTGCTGACGCGGGCTTTAATGTCTTCTAATTAGACGCCGCTGAATCTTTCCTTGATGAACGGTAACACTGCCAAACTCGCATCAGATGTATCGTGAATTTGAGACGTCTCAAAAACACCCTCACTACACGTGAAGTGGAGCACGAATGTGAGTTCAGTCTCCTTTCTCCTTCCCACCTCCTCCCCTCCCCCTCCCCCCTTCCTTTACCGACTCTCCTCTCCTTTCGCCATTGCATGGTAGCAATCTTCTCTCCTCACTCCGTCACTCGCCCTCACCGCATTTCCCATTTCGCTCACCCCTCGTCCGCCTGCGCTCATCCATTCTCCCCCCCCCCCCCCCCTTCCCCCCCCGCGCGCGCACCTTTCATTCCCTCACCGTTATCCCTCAACCCCCATACGATTACCGCTCATCCCCCTTTTGCTCCCATCATTTCCCCCTGTGGCCCCCCTCCCCTCCTCCCCCCTGCGCTCACCCCTGATTCCCCTTGTGTTTATTCCAAACTCCCTCTGTGCTCCTGCATGCCCCCTGTGCTCACCCTTTTTCCCTGAGCCCATCCCTTTCCCATCCCCCACCTTTCCCCCCTCCGCTCATCCATCCCCCATTCCCTCACCCCTTTCCCCTGCCCTCATCCTTCATCCCCCCTGCAGCTCTCACCCCTAACCCTTCGTTACACTCATCCCTCGGTGTCCATCCCTCATTTCATCTATGCTCACCCCTCCTCTCTGCACTCATCCCTCCTTTGCGTATGTGGGTTCCTCATTGCACTCATCCCTCATCCCTCGTCCTTCCATCCCTGAAGCCCCCTGCGTTCGTCATGCACTTCATAACATAATAAGCTGGTGCCGAGATTGGATGTGAATCTATGCACGTGTTTATATGTTTTTTTAGACAAATGTGCAACCACCAGTTTTATTCTACCGATCTGTTTCAAGCAGGTGCTGCATCCCCCTGTACCAGAATTTATTCAAAATATTATGTTTATATGATACAAAGCCTTTCCGACGACCGGTAAATGGTGCCTCTTGTGCGTTGGGTTGGAAAGACCCACAAGAACAGATCTGTGTTCACGCTTCATAACAATGTGCAGGTTGTAGGTGGGTACCGCAAGTTAGTGTGCAGCAGACGCACAACAGCACTAAGCCAAAAACTCAGGTCTCAGGGGAGATGAAAGCCGGTTCCAGAGGAGATGGCACGAATTTGGTCACGAAATTCGTGACCAAACCGGTCTTTAATTTCTCGTGTAGGGAGCTTGCTCATCATGGCTGCTACATGCAGTTTACACATGGAGCAAACAGCTTGCCACCCTTGGCACTCACGACAATTCAAAGCTGGTTCTGGAGGGAGTGGCATACTACCGTAGAGCTTATTCCACAGCATGCTTGCTCATGGCTGCTACATACAGCAGACAAGTGGAGCAAAGAGCTCAGAGGCCAAAGACTCAGCTCCCAGCACTTATGACAATTCAAAGCCGGTACCAGAAGAGATGGCGTACTTTAGCTTATCCCGCAATGTGCTGGCTCGTTGGTAGGTGGGTAGCTGCATGGGGGAGGGTTGGAGGGGAGTTGGAGGAGGGGAAGAATAAATAACATTGTAAATAAGCTTTTCCTGCAGCGTGCTGGCTCGTTGATATGTGGGCAGTTGTGGGAGGGAGGGTTGGAGGGGAGGTGAGGAAGGGGAAGAGGAAGGAGCATTGTACTTGAGCACAGAGAAATGATTACCTTGAGCAGGTTGTAGCACAGAAAAAGCAATGATTATCACAAGCTGTAGCACAACAGAAACAGTTATTACCTTGAGAGCAGGCTGTAGCGAAGCAAAAGGAATGATTACCTTGAGCAGGCTGTAGCACAGAAAAAGCAACGATTCTCGCAAGCTGTAGCACAACAGAAACAGTTTTTACCTTGAGAGCAGGCTGTAGCAAAGCAAAAGCAATGATTACCTTGAGCAGGTTGTAGCAGGTGGAAGCAGTGGGAAGCCAGTCCACGTCAGGTCCTCCCAGTGTAGCCCACATGGACGCGTCCACGTTGACCTGATAGCGAGGCGGGTTATAAAGGGTACGAAACACATGCAGCATGAAGCAGAGGGGCAAGTGCTAGCAGTGGGAAGCCAGTCCACGTCAGGTCCTCCCAGTGTAGCCCACATGGACGCGTCCACGTTGACCTGATAGCGAGGTGGGTTATAAAGGGTACGAAACACATGCTGCATGAAGCAGAGGGGCAAGTGGAAGCGGTGGGAAGCCAGACCACGTCAGGTCCTCCCAGTGTAGCCCACATGGACGCATCCACGTTGACCTAACAGCGAGGAGGGTTATAAGGGGTATAGAACTCACACAGCATGAGCCATGCGATGCAGGCTGCGATAATATCTGTTGATCTGATACAGACCATGTTTCATGCTGATCACATCTGACCATAGTCACACACACCTTGTGGATGGTGAGGGGCGGGTTGAGATGCTTAAAACCCAGCAACGGAGGCCGCGAGCAGCTGGTCACGAATTTCAGCAGCTGGCTCTTTTCCTCTCTTGATAGCTCCTTCACCACCTGCTTTACAGTGCACCACGAAGGAAAGACATGTGGATAAAACATAAGGACAACAAAAAGCAAGACCAGGCCCCTTATGCCCCTGAACGCAAATATACACACAGGAGCGCACGCACACTCACCTCCCAGAACATCCTGACGATTCGATCACTCTCTGTGTATCCTCCAGAGTACTGCGTGTGTGCCTTGGGATCGATCCTCCACATCCCCATCCTTTACCAGGCCCCTTACGCTGCTCGATTCCTCAAAGCAAATACACACACACAGCAGTGCAACGCTAACATGCAATAACCCACCTCCCAGAACATCTTGATCGTTCGGTCGCTCTCCTTCTCTCCACCCGAGTATTGCGTGTGTGCTGAATGCAGGTTCACAGTCCATGTAACAATGTTGCACAGTAACCAAACACGCACCTCCCAGAACATCTTGATGGTCCGGTCGCTCTCCGTGTATCCCCCCGAGTATCATGTGTGTTGATTGCAGGTAATCACTCAAAGATGCACAGAAGCTGATCACGCACCTCCCAGAACATCTTGATGGTTTGATCGCTCTCCGTGTATCCACCCAAGTATCGCGTGTGTGCCTTGATTGGACTAAACACTCCATGCAACAATAGTGCTCAGAAGCCAACCACGCACCTCCCATAACATCTTGATGGTTTGATCGCTCTCCGTGTATCCACCCAAGTATCGCGTGTGTGCCTTGATTGGACTAAACACTCCATGCAACAATAGTGCTCAGAAGCCAACCACGCACCTCCCATAACATCTTGATGGTGTGGTCGCTCTCTGTGTATCCACCCGAGTTTTGAGACGTCTCAACAGCAGTGCAACGCTAACATGCAACAACCCACCTCCCAGAACATCTTGATGGTTCGATCACTCTCCGTGTATCCTCCAGAGTATCGCGTGTGCGCCTTGAGGTCCTCCACGTCCACGTCCTGCTCCCCGCCTGATAACAGCTGCTCACAGCGAGAGGCAAAGGCACACAGAGGAGACAAGCAGACACACTGGATCGAGGCCTAGAGGGTATCTCGTGTGCGCCTTGAGATCCTCCACGTCCACGTCCTGCTCTCCGCCTGACAGCAGCTGCTCATACCCAGACAGTACAGAGATGGACAGAGTATAGAGAGAGAGGATAAATGCATGCATTTGGCTTGAGGCTCGGAGAGTAGTGCCTTGAGATCCTCCCCGTCCACGTCCTGCTCTCCGCCCGACAGCAACTGCTTATACAGAGACATGAGGCACGGAGATTGGGCTTGAGGCACAGAGATTGGACATGGGCAACCGCTCTCCGTGTATCCGCCTGAATATCGCGTGTGTGCCTTGAGAGCCTCTACGTTCACATCCTGGTCCCTGCCTGACAGCAACTGCTCACACAGAGATTTACATAGACACATGCTACTTAATTACACCCATAGTTGTAGACACAGACCGCAGAAGCAAACAAGACACTCTGTTGCTATCTCCTGTGAATTCAGCAGGTTTCTTGCTATCTTGTGAGTTCCAAGCTGCTCTGTTGCAATCTCCTGAAATCTCACCTGGTTGAACTCCTTTGGGCTGAACAGCCGCAGCCACTCAGGCTGAATCAGATCCGAGAGGCCCCTCAGAAACGCTGCCACCACTGCTGCCATCTGCCAGTAGGAGGTGGAAGGAGGGGGTGTGCATGGGCCCATGGGGGGGATGGAAAGGGGGATTACGAGCGGGCGCATGGAGAGAAGACAGGCCCTTGAGTTGACTCAACAGCCGCAGCCACTCAGGCTGAATCAGGTCCGAGAGGCCCCTCAGAAACGCTGCCACCACTGCTGCCATCTGCAAAGGGGAGTTGGGTGTGAAGAAACAAAGAGCACTGAACTCTCACCTGATGGTCAATCATGGGTACACCTGAACTCTCACCTGATGGTCAATCATGGGTACACCTGAACTCTCACCTGATGGTCAATCATGGGTACACCTGAACACTCACCTGATGGTCAATCATGGGTACACCTGAACTCTCACCTGATGGTCAATCATGGGTACACCTGAACTCTCACCTGATGGTCAATCATGGGTACACCTGAACTCTCACCTGATGGTCAATCATGGGTACACCTGAACACTCACCTGATGGTCAATCATGGGTACACCTGAACTCTCACCTGATGGTCAATCATGGGTACACCTGAACTCTCACCTGATGGTCAATCATGGGTACACCTGAACTCTCACCTGATGGTCAATCATGGGTACACCTGAACTCTCACCTGATGGTCAATCATGGGTACACCTGAACACTCACCTGATGGTCAATCATGGGTACACCTGAACTCTCACCTGATGGTCAATCATGGGTACACCTGAACTCTCACCTGATGGTCAATCATGGGTACACCTGAACACTCACCTGATGGTCAATCATGGGTACACCTGAACTCTCACCTGATGGTCAATCATGGGTACACCTGAACACTCACCTGATGGTCAATCATGGGTACACCTGAACTCTCACCTGATGGTCAATCATGGGTACACCTGAACTCTCACCTGATGGTCAATCATGGGTACACCTGAACACTCACCTGATGGTCAATCATGGGTACACCTGAACTCTCACCTGATGGTCAATCATGGGTACACCTGAACTCTCACCTGATGGTCAATCATGGGTACACCTGAACACTCACCTGATGGTCAATCATGGGTACACCTGAACTCTCACCTGATGGTCAATCATGGGTACACCTGAACTCTCACCTGATGGTCAATCATGGGTACACCTGAACTCTCACCTGATGGTCAATCATGGGTACACCTGAACTCTCACCTGATGGTCAATCATGGGTACACCTGAACTCTCACCTGATGGTCAATCATGGGTACACCTGAACACTCACCTGACGGTCAAATCATGGGTACACCTGAACACACCTGACGGTCAAATCATGGGTACACCTGAACTCTCACCTGATGGTTTACCTTGAAATGAGCCATAGCGTGGATGTACAGCAGATTGCTCTCACCGGCCCCGGCTGACATCACCTGGCCACTGTTGCTTTCACCTGAGAACTCACCTGACGGTTAAGTTTGTAATCCGCCACGGCGTGAATGTACTGCAGCTTGTTCTCATTGGTCACGGCGATGTGACTGCCGCCCGGCCGCAACTCCACAATGCTGTGCTCTCCCAACACCTCCTCTGTCACTGTAAAATCCAGAGCCAGCTCTGACGCATCCCCCTCGTAGTGCTGCGGGAGGAGGCAGGAAGAGGCAGGGGGGTAAGGGGAAAGGGGCAGTGCATTGATCTCTGCGATGTGACTGCCGCCCAGTCGCAGCTCCACGGTATTGTGCTCGCCCAGCACCTCCTCTGTCACTGTGAAGTCCAATGCCAGCTCTGAGGCATCCCCCTCGTAGTGCTGCATGGGAAAGGGGTAGGGGACACAATGGGCACAAGGGCTCCACGATGCTGTGCTCGCCCAGCACCTCCTCTGTCACTGTGAAGTCCAATGCCAGCTCTGAGGCATCCCCCTCGTAGTGCTGCATGGGAAAGGGGTAGGGGACACAATGGGCACAAGGGCTCCACGATGCTGTGCTCGCCCAGCACCTCCTCTGTCACTGTGAAGTCCAATGCCAGCTCTGAGGCATCCCCCTCGTAGTGCTGCATGGGAAAGGGGTAGGGGACACAATGGGCACAAGGGCTCCACGATGCTGTGCTCGCCCAGCACCTCCTCTGTCACTGTGAAGTCCAATGCCAGCTCTGAGGCATCCCCTTCGTAGTGCTCTCCCAAGACTACGTGTAAAGAGCGAATTTTTGAGACGTCTCAAAAATTCACTCTTTACACGTGGCTTTCAAGACTTCCTCTGTGACTACAAAGTCCAATGCAAGCTCTGTGGTAATCGTAATGATAGTGGTAATGATAATGATAATGGTAATGGTAATGGTAGTGGTAATGATAGTGGTAATAGTAGCGGTAATGGTAGTGGTAATGGTAGTGATAGTGGTAATGGTAGTGGTAGTGGTAATGGTACTGGTAATGGTAATGGTAATGATAGTGATAGTGGTAATGAAAATAAGAATGGTAATCATAATAATAATGGTAATGGTAGTGGTAATGGTAGTGGTAATGATAGTGGTAATGGTAATGGTAATGGTAATGGTAATGGTAGTGGTAATGATAGTGGTAGTGGTAATGGTGCTAGTAATGGTAATGGTAATGGTAATAGTAATAGTATTAGTAATGGTAATGGTACTGGTAATTGTAATGATAGTGGTAATGGTAATGATAATGGTAGTAGTAATGGAAATGGTAATGGTAGTGGTAGTGGTAATAGTACTGGTACTAGTAATGGTAGTGGTAATGGTAGTGGTAATAGTGGTAATCGTAATGGTAATGGTAATGGTAGTGGTAGTGGTAATGATAATGGTAGTGGTAGTGATAATGATAGTGGTAATAGTACTGGTAATGGAAATAGCAATGGTAATCGTAATGATAGTGGTAATCATAATGGTAATGGCAACGGTAATAGTAATGGTAATCGTAATGATAGTGATAATGATAATGATAATGGTAATTGTAATGGTAGTGGTAATGATAGTGGTAATAGTAGCAGTAATGGTAGTGGTAATGGTAATGGTAGTGGTAATGATAATGGTAGTAGTAATGGTAGTGGCAATGATAGTGATAATAGTAGCGGTAATGGTAATGGCGATGGTAGTGGGAATGGTAGTGGTAGTGGTAATGGTATTGGTAATGGTAATGGTAGTGGTAATGGTAGCGGTAGTGGTAGTGGTAATGGTACTTGTAATGATAATGGTAATGGTAATGGTAATAATAATGGTAATAGTAATTGTAATAGTAATAGTAATGGTAATGCTAGTGGTAGTGGTAATGGTAATGATAGTGGTAATGGTAATGATAATGGTAGTAGTAATGGAAATGGTAATGGTAGTGATAATGGTAATAGTATTGGTAATAGTAATGATAGTGGTAATGGTAGTGGTAATGATAGTGGTGATCGTAATGGTAATGGTAATGGTAATGGTAGTGGTAATGGTAGTGGTAGTGGAAATGGTACTGGTAATGGTAATGGTAATGGTAGTGGTAGTGGTAGTGATAATGGTAGTGGTAGTGGTAATGATAGTGGTAATGATAGTGGTAATGATAGTGGTAATGATAGTGGTAATGATAGTGGTAATGATAGTGGTAATGGTAGTGGAGTCTTGCCCACGATGGTGCACCCCAGTCACAACTCCACTCACTCGCACACCCACCTTCAGATACATGAGGTTGCGGTGCAGCTCCATGTCCAGCGATGAGTGCTCATCCAGGAAGGTATACCTCCCGACCAACTTAGACACGAACAATGGACCAGATGTATTCAGGAAGGAATGTGCTTGTACAGGGCTGTGCTGCCCACTATGTCCCCTTGCTACACTCCCAACCACCTTGAGGTACATGAGGTTGCGGTAAAGCTCCATAACCAGCGATGAGAGCTCGTCCAGGGAGGCATACCTCTCGACCAACTTAGACACGAACAACGGACCAAAGATGTATTCAAGAAGGATGCCCTCGTAGAGCGCCTTGCCCACGATGCTGCACCCGAGTCACATACTCCACTCACTCTCACACCCACCTTCAAATACATGAGGTTGCGGTTCAGCTCCATATCCAGCGATGACAGCTAGTCCAAAAAGGCGTATCTTCCCACAAGCTTGGACAAGAACAGAGGGGCGAAGCTGTACTCGAGGAGAATCCCCTCGTAGAGCGCCTTGCCCACGATACGGCCCACAATGCTAACAGTCTGCCCACACGATGATGCAGTCACATGCTCCACTGACACCCACCTTGAGATACATGAGATTCCTGTAAAGCTCCATGTCGAGAGAAGACAGCTCATCCAAGAAGGCGTATCTCCCCACGAGCTTGGACACGAACAGAGGGGCGAAGCTGTACTCGAGAAGGATACCCTCGTAGAGCGCCTTGCCCACGATGCGGCCGAGAAACTCCACCATGGGAATGCCGTGGCCCAGCGCTGCTGCTGCCGGGTGCGGGTAGAGGTAGCCCTCCTCTGTTGCTGCCTGGAGGAACAGACCATAGCTGGGGAGAGAAGGGTGGGAAGGGAGGGAAGGGATGGATGAAGAAAAGAACCCTAACTCCAACACGATGCGGCCAAGAAACTCCACTATGGGAATGCCGTGACCCAGCGCCGCTGCTGCCGGGTGCAGACAGAGGTAGCCTTCCTCTATGGCTGCTTGGAGGAAGAGTCTGTAGCTGGGGAGAACAGGGAGGGGGAGAGGGGGAGAGGGAGAAGAGTAGAAAAACATCAAGCGGAGATATCATAGCTCTGCTGCTACCTCCCGGTAGAGGTAGCCCTCCTCTGTGGCTGCTCTCAAGAAGAGCCCGTAGCTGGGGAGAGGTAGAGGTACGCTGCACCGCCCGCTCGTGTGCTGCACCGCACGCTCATACGCTGCACCGCCTGCTCATACGCTGCACCGCACGCTCATACGCTGCACCGCCTGCTCATACGCTGCACCGCACGCTCATACGCTGCACCGCCTGCTCATACGCTGCACCGCACGCTCATACACTGCACCGCACGCTCATACGCTGCACCGCCCGCTCGTACGCTGCACCGCCCGCTCGTGTGCTGCACCGCCGGCTCATACGCTGCACCGCCCGCTCATACGCTGCACCGCCCGCTCATACGCTGCACCGCCCGCTCATACGCTGCACCGCACGCTCGTACGCTGCACCGCCCGCTCGTACGCTGCACCGCCCGCTCGTACGCTGCACCGCCGGCTCATACTCTGCACCGCACGCTCATACGCTGCACCGCCCGCTCGTACGCTGCACCGCCCGCTCATACGCTGCACCGCCCGCTCATACACTGCACCGCACCCTCATACGCTGCACCGCACGCTCATACACCGAACGCCGCTCATGCGCTGCACCGCCCACTCATACGCTGCACCGCCCGCTCATACGCTGCACCGCACGCTCATACGCTGCTACGCCCGCTCATGCATTGCACCCCGCGCTCGAACTCTTTAAAAAGTCCGACCTGGACTTAGCCTATCTCAACATCACATGCACCACCTGACCCAAGCGCCATTAACCCCTAGTGCCACGTACCCCCGGTCGAAGGCTGCCTTAGCGAGGTCAGTGAGGAACTCTTTAAAGAGACCGCCCTGGTCCATGCCTATCTGGACATCACAGGCACCACCTCTCCTCCATACAACCTGGCCCAGGTGCCACCTATCCCCCCAGGTGCAACCTACCCTGGGTCGAAGGCTGCTTCAGCGAGGTCAGTGAGGAACTCTTTAAAGAGTCCGCCCTGGTCCATGCCTATCTTGACATCACAAGCACCGCCTCTCCTCCATACATCATGCCTTAGGTGTCAGCCACCTATCCCAAGTACAGCTTACCCCAGGTGCCACCTACCCCGGGTCGAAGGCCGCTTTAGCAATGTCAGTGGTCCATTCAAATCAAGTTATCACAAGCACTACCTGTCTTCCATACATCCTGCCCCAGGTGCCAGCCACCTATCCCAAGTACAGCTTACCCCAGGTGCCACCTACCCCGGGTCGAAGGCTGCTTTAGCGAGGTCGGTGAGAAACTCTTTAAAGAGTCCGCCCTGGTCCATTCCAATCTCCTCGGCTCCAAACGCGTTCACGAATGACACACGCACACGGCCCTGTGAAGTGGAGGGACAGAGAAAGAGAGTGAGAGAGGAAGAGAGTGCGGGGGAGAGGGAGGAATAAGAGGGAGAGTCCGCCCTGGTCCATTCCAATCTCCTCGGCTCCGGACGCTTTCACGAATGACACACGCACACGGCCCTGTGAAGTGGAGGGACAGAGAAAGAGAGTGAAAGCACAAGCGAGGAATGAGAGGGAGAGCAACCCGGAAGGAAGAGGGAGGAATGAGAGGGAGAGCAACCCGGAAGGAAGAGGGAGGAATGAGAGGGAGAGCAACCCGCAAGGAAGAGGGAGGAATGAGAGGGAGAGCAACCCGGAAGGAAGAGGGAAGAATGAGAGGGAGAGTCCGCCCTGGTCCAATTCCAATCTCCTCCGCTCCTAACGCGTTCACGAATGAGATGCGCACATGGCCCAGTAGGGTGGAAAAGCAGAGCAACTCAGAAGGACAAAAGGGCAAAACGGGTTACGGAGGTAACAGAAGCTTCCCAGCATCGGAAATTTGACGATGGGCCCATCTGCCTCTCCCCCACAAATGGTATCTTGGCCATGTGCCTATCACACTCTCTCTCCCCCACCTTAAGCATGGGCCTAACTCAGACACATCCACCATGGGTGGGTGCGATAGGGCTGCACTGCTCTAAACTGTTACACGGTTGAATCTGAGAAGAGAAGAACATGTGGGCCAAAAGTCATCTCGGTTGAATCTGAGAAGAGAAGAACATGTGGGCCAAAAGTCATCTCGGTTGAATCTGAGAAGAGAAGAACATGTGGGCCAAAAGTCATCTCGGTTGAATCTGAGAAGAGAAGAACATGTGGGCCAAAAGTCATCTCGGTTGAATCTGAGAAGAGAAGAACATGTGGGCCAAAAGTCATCTCGGTTGAATCTGAGAAGAGAAGAACATGTGGGCCAAAAGTCACCTCGGTTGAATCTGAGAAGAGAAGAACATGTGGGCCAAAAGTCACCTCGGTTGAATCTGAGAAGAGAAGAACATGTGGGCCAAAAGTCACCTCGGTTGAATCTGAGAAGAGAAGAACATGTGGGCCAAAAGTCACCTCGGTTGAATCTGAGAAGAGAAGAACATGTGGGCCAGAAGTCACCTCGGTTGAATCTGAGAAGAGAAGAACATGTGGGCCAAAAGTCACCTCGGTTGAATCTGAGAAGAGAAGAACATGTGGGCCAAAAGTCACCTCGGTTGAATCTGAGAAGAGAAGAACATGTGGGCCAAAAGTCACCTCGGTTGAATCTGAGAAGAGAAGAACATGTGGGCCAAAAGTCACCTCGGTTGAATCTGAGAAGAGAAGAACATGTGGGCCAAAAGTCACCTCGGTTGAATCTGAGAAGAGAAGAACATGTGGGCCAAAAGTCACCTCGGTTGAATCTGAGAAGAGAAGAACATGTGGGCCAAAAGTCACCTCGGTTGAATCTGAGAAGAGAAGAACATGTGGGCCAAAAGTCACCTCGGTTGAATCTGAGAAGAGAAGAACATGTGGGCCAAAAGTCACCTCGGTTGAATCTGAGAAGAGAAGAACATGTGGGCCAAAAGTCACCTCGGTTGAATCTGAGAAGAGAAGAACATGTGGGCCAAAAGTCACCTCGGTTGAATCTGAGAAGAGAAGAACATGTGGGCCAAAAGTCACCTCGGTTGAATCTGAGAGAGAAGAACATGTGGGCCAAAAGTCACCTCGGTTGAATCTGAGAAGAGAAGAACATGTGGGCCAAAAGTCACCTCGGTTGAATCTGAGAAGAGAAGAACATGTGGGCCAAAAGTCACCTCGGTTGAATCTGAGAAGAGAAGAACATGTGGGCCAAAAGTCACCTCGGTTGAATCTGAGAAGAGAAGAACATGTGGGCCAAAAGTCACCTCGGTTGAATCTGAGAAGAGAAGAACATGTGGGCCAAAAGTCACCTCGGTTGAATCTGAGAAGAGAAGAACATGTGGGCCAAAAGTCACCTCGGTTGAATCTGAGAAGAGAAGAACATGTGGGCCAAAAGTCACCTCGGTTGAATCTGAGAAGAGAAGAACATGTGGGCCAAAAGTCACCTCGGTTGAATCTGAGAAGAGAAGAACATGTGGGCCAAAAGTCACCTCGGTTGAATCTGAGAAGAGAAGAACATGTGGGCCAAAAGTCACCTCGGTTGAATCTGAGAAGAGAAGAACATGTGGGCCAAAAGTCACCTCTTTTGAATCTGAGAAGAGAAGAACATGTGGGCCAAAAGTCACCTCGGTTGAATCTGAGAAGAGAAGAACATGTGGGCCAAAAGTCACCTCGGTTGAATCTGAGAAGAGAAGAACATGTGGGCCAAAAGTCACCTCGGTTGAATCTGAGAAGAGAAGAACATGTGGGCCAAAAGTCACCTCGGTTGAATCTGAGAAGAGAAGAACATGTGGGCCAAAAGTCATCTCGGTTGAATCTGAGAAGAGAAGAACATGTGGGCCAAAATTCATCTCGGTTGAATCTGAGAAGAGAAGAACATGTGGGCCAAAAGTCATCTCGGTTGAATCTGAGAAGAGAAGAACATGTGGGCCAAAAGTCATCTCGGTTGAATCTGAGAAGAGAAGAACATGTGGGCCAAAAGTCATCTCGGTTGAATCTGAGAAGAGAAGAACATGTGGGCCAAAAGTCACCTCGGTTGAATCTGAGAAGAGAAGAACATGTGGGCCAAAAGTCACCTCGGTTGAATCTGAGAAGAGAAGAACATGTGGGCCAAAAGTCACCTCGGTTGAATCTGAGAAGAGAAGAACATGTGGGCCAAAAGTCACCTCGGTTGAATCTGAGAAGAGAAGAACATGTGGGCCAAAAGTCACCTCGGTTGAATCTGAGAAGAGAAGAACATGTGGGCCAAAAGTCACCTCGGTTGAATCTGAGAAGAGAAGAACATGTGGGCCAAAAGTCACCTCGGTTGAATCTGACAAGAGAAGAACATGTGGGCCAAAAGTCACCTCGGTTGAATCTGAGAAGAGAAGAACATGTGGGCCAAAAGTCACCTCGGTTGAATCTGAGAAGAGAAGAACATGTGGGCCAAAAGTCACCTCGGTTGAATCTGAGAAGAGAAGAACATGTGGGCCAAAAGTCACCTCGGTTGAATCTGAGAAGAGAAGAACATGTGGGCCAAAAGTCACCTCGGTTGAATCTGAGAAGAGAAGAACATGTGGGCCAAAAGTCACCTCGGTTGAATCTGAGAAGAGAAGAACATGTGGGCCAAAAGTCACCTCGGTTGAATCTGAGAAGAGAAGAACATGTGGGCCAAAAGTCACCTCGGTTGAATCTGACAAGAGAAGAACATGTGGGCCAAAAGTCACCTCGGTTGAATCTGAGAAGAGAAGAACATGTGGGCCAAAAGTCACCTCGGTTGAATCTGAGAAGAGAAGAACATGTGGGCCAAAAGTCACCTCGGTTGAATCTGAGAAGAGAAGAACATGTGGGCCAAAAGTCACCTCGGTTGAATCTGAGAAGAGAAGAACATGTGGGCCAAAAGTCACCTCGGTTGAATCTGAGAAGAGAAGAACATGTGGGCCAAAAGTCACCTCGGTTGAATCTGAGAAGAGAAGAACATGTGGGCCAAAAGTCACCTCGGTTGAATCTGAGAAGAGAAGAACATGTGGGCCAAAAGTCACCTCGGTTGAATCTGAGAAGAGAAGAACATGTGGGCCAAAAGTCACCTCGGTTGAATCTGAGAAGAGAAGAACATGTGGGCCAAAAGTCACCTCGGTTGAATCTGAGAAGAGAAGAACATGTGGGCCAAAAGTCACCTCGGTTGAATCTGAGAAGAGAAGAACATGTGGGCCAAAAGTCACCTCGGTTGAATCTGAGAAGAGAAGAACATGTGGGCCAAAAGTCACCTCTTTTGAATCTGAGAAGAGAAGAACATGTGGGCCAAAAGTCACCTCGGTTGAATCTGAGAAGAGAAGAACATGTGGGCCAAAAGTCACCTCGGTTGAATCTGAGAAGAGAAGAACATGTGGGCCAAAAGTCACCTCGGTTGAATCTGAGAAGAGAAGAACATGTGGGCCAAAAGTCACCTCGGTTGAATCTGAGAAGAGAAGAACATGTGGGCCAAAAGTCACCTCGGTTGAATCTGAGAAGAGAAGAACATGTGGGCCAAAAGTCACCTCGGTTGAATCTGAGAAGAGAAGAACATGTGGGCCAAAAGTCACCTCGGTTGAATCTGAGAAGAGAAGAACATGTGGGCCAAAAGTCACCTCTTTTGAATCTGAGAAGAGAAGAACATGTGGGCCAAAAGTCACCTCGGTTGAATCTGAGAAGAGAAGAACATGTGGGCCAAAAGTCACCTCGGTTGAATCTGAGAAGAGAAGAACATGTGGGCCAAAAGTCACCTCGGTTGAATCTGAGAAGAGAAGAACATGTGGGCCAAAAGTCACCTCGGTTGAATCTGAGAAGAGAAGAACATGTGGGCCAAAAGTCACCTCGGTTGAATCTGAGAAGAGAAGAACATGTGGGCCAAAAGTCACCTCGGTTGAATCTGAGAAGAGAAGAACATGTGGGCCAAAAGTCACCTCGGTTGAATCTGAGAAGAGAAGAACATGTGGGCCAAAAGTCACCTCTTTTGAATCTGAGAAGAGAAGAACATGTGGGCCAAAAGTCACCTCGGTTGAATCTGAGAAGAGAAGAACATGTGGGCCAAAAGTCACCTCGGTTGAATCTGAGAAGAGAAGAACATGTGGGCCAAAAGTCACCTCGGTTGAATCTGAGAAGAGAAGAACATGTGGGCCAAAAGTCACCTCGGTTGAATCTGAGAAGAGAAGAACATGTGGGCCAAAAGTCACCTCGGTTGAATCTGAGAAGAGAAGAACATGTGGGCCAAAAGTCACCTCGGTTGAATCTGAGAAGAGAAGAACATGTGGGCCAAAAGTCACCTCGGTTGAATCTGAGAAGAGAAGAACATGTGGGCCAAAAGTCACCTCGGTTGAATCTGAGAAGAGAAGAACATGTGGGCCAAAAGTCACCTCGGTTGAATCTGAGAAGAGAAGAACATGTGGGCCAAAAGTCACCTCGGTTGAATCTGAGAAGAGAAGAACATGTGGGCCAAAAGTCACCTCGGTTGAATCTGAGAAGAGAAGAACATGTGGGCCAAAAGTCACCTCGGTTGAATCTGAGAAGAGAAGAACATGTGGGCCAAAAGTCACCTCGGTTGAATCTGAGAAGAGAAGAACATGTGGGCCAAAAGTCACCTCGGTTGAATCTGAGAAGAGAAGAACATGTGGGCCAAAAGTCACCTCGGTTGAATCTGAGAAGAGAAGAACATGTGGGCCAAAAGTCACCTCGGTTGAATCTGAGAAGAGAAGAACATGTGGGCCAAAAGTCACCTCGGTTGAATCTGAGAAGAGAAGAACATGTGGGCCAAAAGTCACCTCGGTTGAATCTGAGAAGAGAAGAACATGTGGGCCAAAAGTCACCTCGGTTGAATCTGAGAAGAGAAGAACATGTGGGCCAAAAGTCACCTCGGTTGAATCTGAGAAGAGAAGAACATGTGGGCCAAAAGTCACCTCGGTTGAATCTGAGAAGAGAAGAACATGTGGGCCAAAAGTCACCTCGGTTGAATCTGAGAAGAGAAGAACATGTGGGCCAAAAGTCACCTCGGTTGAATCTGAGAAGAGAAGAACATGTGGGCCAAAAGTCACCTCGGTTGAATCTGAGAAGAGAAGAACATGTGGGCCAAAAGTCACCTCGGTTGAATCTGAGAAGAGAAGAACATGTGGGCCAAAAGTCACCTCGGTTGAATCTGAGAAGAGAAGAACATGTGGGCCAAAAGTCACCTCGGTTGAATCTGACAAGAGAAGAACATGTGGGCCAAAAGTCACCTCGGTTGAATCTGAGAAGAGAAGAACATGTGGGCCAAAAGTCACCTCGGTTGAATCTGACAAGAGAAGAACATGTGGGCCAAAAGTCACCTCGGTTGAATCTGAGAAGAGAAGAACATGTGGGCCAAAAGTCACCTCGGTTGAATCTGACAAGAGAAGAACATGTGGGCCAAAAGTCACCTCGGTTGAATCTGAGAAGAGAAGAACATGTGGGCCAAAAGTCACCTCGGTTGAATCTGAGAAGAGAAGAACATGTGGGCCAAAAGTCACCTCGGTTGAATCTGAGAAGAGAAGAACATGTGGGCCAAAAGTCACCTCGGTTGAATCTGAGAAGAGAAGAACATGTGGGCCAAAAGTCACCTCGGTTGAATCTGAGAAGAGAAGAACATGTGGGCCAAAAGTCACCTCGGTTGAATCTGAGAAGAGAAGAACATGTGGGCCAAAAGTCACCTCGGTTGAATCTGAGAAGAGAAGAACATGTGGGCCAAAAGTCACCTCGGTTGAATCTGAGAAGAGAAGAACATGTGGGCCAAAAGTCACCTCGGTTGAATCTGAGAAGAGAAGAACATGTGGGCCAAAAGGTTCACCTTGAGCAAGGGCCCAAGTTGGTTTAGCCGAACGAATGCATCCTCCACGAGCAGGTCTCGTCTCGCCGCACGGACACGTACACCACCGGTGGGAGTCACACCCACTTATGATGCGCCCTCTCTCAGAGCACCTTTCAAAGCACAAGTGATACCTTGAGCATCGGTCCGAGTTGGTTCAGTCGCACGAATGCATCCTCCACGAGCAGGTCTCGTCTCGCCGCACGGACACGTGCACCACCGGTGGGAGTCACACCCATTTGTGCCGCTCCTTGTCACTCTAAAAGCCCATCTGCGTCCCTTCAAGGCTTCACCCCTTACCTTGAGCATGGGCCCCAGCTGGTTGAGTCTCACAAACGCGTCTTCCACGAGCAAATCCCGCCGCACGGACACGTCCACCACGGGCCGCACCATGCCCATCCCCGGTGTCACCCCTAATCCATGCCTCGCCTTGTCTGCTTGGATGAGCTCCCGGAATATGTGCACCCTGGGAGGAGAGACATGGGACATGGGGCATGGGACATGGGACATGGGACATGGGACACATGGGGCACAAGCGACAGCTGAGGGCCGCACCATGCCCATCCGGGGTGTCACCCCTAATCCATGCCTCGCCCTGTCTGCTTGGATGAGCTCCCGGAATATGTGCACCCTGGGAGGAGAGACATGGGACATGACATGGGGCATGGGACATGAGACACATGGGGCATGGGACATGAGACACATGGGACATGGGACATGGGACACATGGGGCACAAGCGACAGTTGAGAGCCGCACCATGCCCATCCCGGGGGTAATCCTGCTTGCACAAGGGAAAGGTGAGGTGAGGAATGTGCTTGAACCTCTCCACCCCTATTTTCCCTACAGTAGCCATCCCAGACCCACTCTACTGCTCCTTGCCCTTCTCCCCTTCCCCCCTACCATCCTACACGGCTCACCTCATTGCACCCTTCCTTTTATTCCCCAAATCTCATCGTACCTCTTTTCAAACGGCAGCACGTGGGGCAGCGTGCGCAGCACAGCAGCCATGGCAGACCCGCTCTGCTGCTCCTTCCCCTTCTCCGCGCCTCCATGCCCTCTCCCTCCTCCCCCCATCCCTCGTCCGTCCCCACCCATTTCTCCTCCTCTCCCTCCTGCCCCCCCGCCCATGCCTAGTTCCCCCATCCACTCCCCCATCTCCCAGTCCTCCTCGCCTCCCCCCATCATTCCGCCCATCCCCCCTCCCCCCTCGCCCCCCCCCACCCCATGATGTCTGGCCGCGCCTGCAGGGAGGGGAGCATGAGTGAATGAGGGAAAACGTGGGAACGAAGGGAGAGCAGGGACGGAAGGGCGTGTGAGGGGGTGTGTTGGAAGGAAATGTCAAGGACGCGGTGGCACAATGACTGTGCACGTTTCCAAGTGCCTCAAAACTCCAAGTGCTCTGCGACTTTTGAGTCGACTCATAAGTCACTTTGTGTTGGTGTCACTTAGTGTTGCAGTGAGGAAAGAGAGTGGGCAGTGAGGAGAGAGAGTGGGCAGTGAGGAAAGAGAGTGGGAAGTGAGGAGACAACTAATGCGAGACCTGCTGCAAAAATCGGAATCACTAATGCGGGGTCCTCACAACTTACCTGCTGCAGAGATGACAGGTGGCGGGCGGCGATCGGCTGGAGCCAGCCAGAGTGAAGGCTCGCAGAAGGCCCGTCTGCAGTCGCGGTCGTGCAGAGGGAGAAGGCAGCGAGTGGCCGCTTCTAGGAGAGCGGATTGCGAGGGGGTGAGCGGGGAGGAGGCGGAGGCGGATGAGGAAGAGGAGGGGGACGGGGAGGAGGAGGAGGGGGAGGAGATGAGTGTGTTGTAGACGAGGGTGTTGAGTGTTGCTGCGATGACCCTTTGCTCGGAAAGAGAGAAAAGAATCTAATTTACAAGGGAAGGCAAACCACGGACACAAAGCAGAGGGGATAAAGAAGAAGGGAGGAGATGAGATTGTTGTAGACGAGGGTTTTGAATGTGGCTGCGATGACGCTTTGCTCCGAAAGAGAGAAAGGGATCTGATTTACAAGGGAAGGCAAACCAGGGACACAAAGCAGAGGGGATAAAGAAGCAAGGGGGACAGGTGACTTTTGAGTCGACTCAAAAGTCACCTCGGAAGGCAAACCAGGGACACAAAGCAGAGGGGATAAAGAAGCAAGGGGGACAGGGAAGACAGAGGGAGCAGATGACAGGGTGTTGGTGTTGTCAACGAATGTTGGTGTTGTCAACGAATGTTGGTGTTGTCAACGAATGTTGGTGTTGTAAACGAATGTTGAGTTTGGCTGCCATGATCCATTGCTCAAAAGAGAAAACTAAAACTGGGCGGAGACATGATCACCACATATCCCACCACCCCACCATCCAGCACCACACCGAACCCACCTGTCTCTGGTACAACTCCTAGTCGTCCAGCACGAGCAGCAGGTGGGGGTACGCCCTGCAGAACATCGCCATCTCATCACGCAGCACCGCACAGTACCCAACATCCAACCACCCCACCGCACAGCACCCACCTGTCTCTGGTAGAACTCCTCATCATCCAGCACAAGCAGCAGGTGAGCGTACGCCCTGCAGAACACAGTCATCACCACTGCCACGTCAGCAGCCACCCCTGCCACCCCCTTCCTCATACTCTCCACATCCCACCGCTCCCCTCCTCCCTCTCCTCCCTCTCCCCTCTCTCTTCCTTCTCCTCCCTCAAATCCTCTGCTTCCTGCTCCCTCTCCCTCCTCCTCCTCCCCACCCTCGTCAAAATCCACTTCCATATAGTCACCTGTCTGGGTCTCCCAAAACGTCCTCCCCCCTCCTCCTCCTCCCTCTCCCCGTCCTCCCCCTCTTCCCCTGCGCCCTCTCTGTGCCTCTGCTGCACGTCTCTGGAAGGTGGAGGAGAGAAAGGTGGACCACCGTTGTGCTGCCGTTGACCCTGGTTGACCAGGTTGACCCGGTTGACCAGGCTGTCCGGATTGACCTGGTTGACCCGCTTGACCCAGTTGACCCGGTTGACCTATTTGACCAGTCTGGCCAGCAGAATCTGTCTGCATGCGGTCAACACGGTCAACACCCGCTCTCTCTCCTCCTCCCCCTCCTCCCCCTGCTACCCTTACCCCCTGTCCTCCCCACTCTTCATCCTCCTCTGCCCTTCCCCCTCCATCCTCCCCACCTCCCCCGTAACCTTCCAGAAACGACCTTGGGAACCAACTGCCCGAAAACTGGGGCAGCTGAAACGAACCAGTCGCTCCCCCGTGCCTGCTCCCTTCCCTCCCCCCTCTGTTTCTCCTCCTGCTAGACCCTTCTCTTTCCCTCCTGCCATCAGCAGAACTAGAACCACCAGCACCTGCACCAGCAGCAGCAGCAGCAGCAGCAGCACCACCACCACCACCACCACCACTCTGCACTCCCTGCGCACCACTCTGCGCCCCCTGCAAACCACTCTGAATCCCCTCACTCTCAGCATAGGCCTGGGAGATGGAGACACGGCAGTGAGCCACCAGCCAGTGCCACAGCCCAGTCAGAACCTCTCGAGTGAAAGCCAGGACGTTCAGTAGAGGGAGGACTCGCCCTGAGGACGCGTGTACAGAGGAGAAGAGGTTCAGAAGGAGAGAGTAGAGCCGCCCGAAATCGCCCATGTCTAGCTGCTGCCGCCCACTTGCTGCTCCAGTTGCTGTTGCTGCCCCTGCTGCTCCTCCCGATGCTGCTACTGCAGCAGGTTTCGCTCCCGATTCTGCTGCCTTTTCCACGTTTTTTTCGGCTTTAAGTGCCTCTTCTAGGACCCTCAGCACGTGCCACCGCTGGCACAGCGGGGAAATATCCTCATAAAAACACGGGTGCACCTGCCTCCGTCCGCCTCTTCTCCCCCTCCCTCCTCCACCCCTCGCCCCCTCCTCTTCCTCATCCTCCTCATCCTCGTCGTCGTCGTCCTCCTCCTCCTCCTGCTGCTTCCTCCCTTTTCTCCCTTTCCCTCCTCTCTCCTCCCGCACCTCTTTCTCCTCATGGTCTATCACAGCAGCGGCTAAGGAGCAGAGGGCGTGAACATAAAGTGGCAAGTCAAGACCCGGTAGGAACAGCTCAGAAGAGAGCGAGGGAGAGGGAGGAGGAGGAGGAGAGGGTGGAGAGGGGGAATTGGAGGAGGAGGGTGGGGAGGGGGAGGGGGGGGAGGAGAGGGACGGGTAGCTGGTTGCGAGGGCAGATACGTTGGCCAGGGCCCAGGCAGGAGGGGGGAGATGGGAGGTGAGTCGGTGGTACGGGTCGGGTGGCGAGGGGTGGGGGGAAGGAGCCTTGCGCTGCACAAGGGAAGGGAGAGAGAAGGGAAAAGGTAAGGGCGCAGATGAACGACAAGGAAAAGGCACATTCTGTTGGGCAAGAGAGGGGCTTAGAGCGCAAGGGCAAAGGCTAAATGTAAAAGGTACGAGAAGAGAGAAGGACCGTACCAGGCAGGAGAGGAGGCAGGGTTGGAGGGCTGACAGGTGGCGCAAGGCAGGGAGGAGAGGAGATGGCAGGCGCCACGTCAGCAGCGGGATGGTGAGAATGTGGGCGGCAAACTGATCTGCTGCCTGCGATGCCCACGCTGCAATCAAAGGACAAAGATGAGAGAGTAGAATCTTGAGACGCGCTAAAACTCGAATGTGGGCGGCAAACTGATCTGCTGCCTGCGATGCCCACGCTGCATTGAAAGGAATGGGAGGGAGGGACAGTGGAGCTGGGCGAGAGGAGGAGGGACAGTAGAGCTGGGCAAGTAGACCAAGAAGAAGAGGAGGACATGAATCCATGTGCATGGTGTTACTTTTGAGATTTCTCACAAGAGATGGGCAAATGGACCAAGAAGAAGAGGAGGACATGAATCCATATGCACAGCAGCAATGAAGGGTAGAAACAACAGGCTCAGTGAATGTGGCGCACGGACAATAGCACAAGAAAAACATTGTCGTGAGGAGAGAGTGGAGACGGGCATGTAAACCAACCAAGGCAGAATGGGAGGATAAAGTCATCATAAAACTCACCCGATGGCAGCTTCCCAGCAACGTTTTGCCCATCTTTCCTGCCCGAGAAAACAATGATAGGCCTGAGAGCCACCGTCATTGCAGCAGCGGTCAGCAGAAACATTTGCTGGGCAGCCTGAGCTCCTCCCCCTCCTCCTGCCCCCCCTCCCATCCCTCCTCCCTTCCCCTTCATTTCCCTCCACCCGTCCACAGGTGGGGCGGCGGAATTTGTCAGTATGTGCATGCGCAGCGCAGGGTAGATTCCCGTGGCACCTGAGGCGGTACCGGCCAACAGAGAAAGCACCTGAGCCTCTGCTGCAGCCAGGGTGCTTTCAGGGGAGGAAGAGGCGGCAACAGCTGGTGATTTGAGGAAGCGCCACGTGGCAGTGTCACAGAGTGACACGTGGACACGCATGGCAAGAACAGTGAGCAGGAGAGAGGGTGCTGATAGGGTGGTGGCAGTGGTAGTGGTGGAGTGAGAAGAGGGAGAGTGAGAGGAGGAAGTGGAGGAGGAGGAGGAAGAGGAGGAGAAACGGCTGAGAAGAGCACTGCAGAGGGACACGACTCGATGTGCCTGGTGCTGCCACGTGGCACGCTGTGATTGGTTGCCAACGGCCAAGGAGCAGAAGTTGGTAGCAGGATCTGCAATGGGGTGAAAGGGAGAGGGTCAAGCGCAATTGTGAGAGGGGAAGCGGAAGAAGAGGCGAGAAAATTGAATGCAGATTGAATGCAGATTGAATGCAGATTGAATGCAGATTGAATGCAGATTGAATGCAGACTGAATGCAGACTGAATGCAGATTGAATGCAGATTGAATGCAGATTGAATGCAGATTGAATGCAGATTGAATGCAGATTGAATGCAGATTGAATGCAGATTGAATGCAGATTGAATGCAGATTGAATGCAGATTGAATGCAGATTGAATGCAGATTGAATGCAGATTGAATGCAGATTGAATGCAGATTGAATGCAGATTGAATGCAGATTGAATGCAGATTGAATGCAGATTGAATGCAGATTGAATGCAGATTGAATGCAGATTGAATGCAGATTGAATGCAGATTGAATGCAGATTGAATGCAGATTGAATGCAGATTGAATGCAGATTGAATGCAGATTGAATGCAGATTGAATGCAGATTGAATGCAGATTGAATGCAGATTGAATGCAGATTGAATGCAGATTGAATGCAGATTGAATGCAGATTGAATGCAGATTGAATGCAGATTGAATGCAGATTGAATGCAAATTGGATCAACTGGACAGACTGTTCAACTGACTGCTCTGAAAGTCCCACTTACATGGGAAATCCAGACTCAGCCTAAGAGATAGACGCAAATACTCAACTCAAGCCCTCGCTTACCTGCAGAATCCAGACTTTTTAGCAGCCACACTAGCACCGACTGCAACCGTTGCATATCCTTTGCTTCTCCCCCTCCCCCTGCCCCTGCTCCAGTCCCTCCCCTTTCCCCCTTGTGTTCCCCTTTCTCCCCCTCCCCCCTCCCTCCGATTCTCCACTCCCTTTTCCGCGCATCCCACAGCAAGAACAGCACGGGTGCAAGAAGCTTCTGGGAAACTTCATCTGCTGTTAGAGGCGCTGGGGGCTGCCCCCCTGCTGCTGCCATGCGGGAAGCATGCCACGTGTCCCACTCGGATTGGACGAGCTGGCGAGCAACGCAAGCTGCTTTCCTGCCACGCCACACACGCTGACGTGGGCAAGAGGAGTTGGGTGGGTGGGTGGGTGGGTGGGTGTGTGGGTGGGTGGTTGGGTAAAGATAGGCGTATGGTGCGGATCCATTTGATGGGAGACTGAAACGCCGACTGGCACACCTGAAACGCCGACTGGCACACCTGAAACGCCGACTGGCACACCTGAAACGCCGACTGGCACACCTGAAACGCCGACTGGCGCACCTGAATGAGCGCGGCGGAAGCCGCGGACTTGCGGGCCTTGCTGCGCGCCGCACGCTCTTCCGCGACCTTGTTCAGCAGCGCGTTCCGCGACACCTCGCGCGCACTCGCTCCGCGCAGCGATACCTAACGGGAAATTCGAGACGGGAGGAAGGGGAGTTCGGGACAGGAGGGATTCGAAAAGAATAGCTTTGAAACGTCGCCAGCAGAGCAACGGTCAGTTCCGCGACACCTCGCGCATGCGCGTTTTCACTCCCCGCAGCGACACCTGCGGAGGGTGGACGAGCGGAAATTCGCAACCGGAGGGATTCGAGGCAGGAGATTACTGAATCGGGAGGAGACTTGACACGGAGAGATTCGAGCCGCTGCAAAAAAAAACGCGGCGGAGCGTTTCGTTATGCGTCCGTTACGCTCATGCCGCGCAGCCAGACCAATTGAAAGGTAGAACTGTTGGTCAATAGAACCGCCAGGTCAGTATTGGGTCGATCTGTTTCACCGAGTGTCAGCGCATGCCGACAAACAGTGCACGGCATGGAAGAAACGCCAACGGTCGAAATCTCAAATATGATGGATCGTAGCGCGTCTAGCTACATATTTCTTCGACTGAGCGGCTCCAAGCTCACCTCGCGTCGCCCTCCGAATTGCATCCTGACTGTTGGACCAGTCCTGGCCTAGGGCGAGAAATCACGTAGCGGATTAGCTAGGCAGACTCCAGGCTGCCTTGAGTCTAGGCTAAGACGAGTTCTAGGGACTCAGCGAAACCTTGGGGAGTATTTAATTCGTAGGAGAAGCAATTGTAGGGAGGACAATAGTCATAACACTGGTATGTAAGGCAGGGCGGCTCAAATTCCGCAGTTATGTCAGTTGTCGGACCTTTTGGAGGGGAAATACTCCATTGTAGATGCTTCGATATTATCAATACTTTCGGTTCGAGATCCTTACGTGTGGTCTATACAATTCAACGCCAAATTCAGTGTACTGTAATTGAGGTGACACCTCACGCACGCCCCCCTAGTACAACATTCGGGGGTGGGATGTGTGACGGCAGCCTTTTAGGCAAGGGGAAGCTGCTATTTGCCAATCGGAAGCTTCATTTTGGTGCCCGCGCTTGACGTCAGACCGTAAAACCCTCTTTTCTGCCTATGTGTCACTTGCGGGAAGTTGACATGGCATCATTTGATTCGTGAAACGACTTGCGCCGATTGGTTCTTCGGTTTCAGCAACCCGTAATGACTTTCCAGGGCTGCCCGGTCCACAAGCTCCCCCACCCCCGTGCTCCCTACCTCTTTTATCTTTTCCGCATTCTCCGCCGCTCCCCCGCCCTTGCTCATATATTTTCTTGCAGTCGACCTCCTGGCCTGACGCCTCTCATATTCGCTCTACGCTTCCGTCAGAGCTCTTTTCTTCCTCTCTTGCAGACCTGGTATTCCCAGGCTCTTAGCTCTCTCCGAGCTAATCTTCCAGCCTCTCCGCATTCCACGGTTGGCGCATAAGAAAATCTTGAAGCCTTCGTGCTTTCGCTCCGGTTTATCTCTTTTAACCGTCAAGGCGACCTAGAACCATCATGGCTCTCTCCTGCGGAAGCTGCACGCTCGGCAAGACCGCTGTGTCCGGTCTCTCTCTCAAAAATGACGCCACCCTCGCGTCCGCCAAGAGCGCCGTCGTCATGTCGCCCATGCCACGTGTCGAGAAGCTGAGCGCCGCTGGCAAGAAGGCCGCGGCTGTCGCGGTCAGCGTTCGGTCGCAAGCCGTCGCCACCGCGACCACGAAGCGCGGCGCGGAGGTGCAGTTCGAGAGCAAGGTGTTCACCAAGGAGAAGATCAACCTCGCCGGCCGTGAGGAGGTAAATGAATGTGTACTTTAGGCTCCTCCAACCGGATATTGGGACGACTTTAAACGCGGATGTGCAGTTCGAGAGCAAGGTGTTCACCAAGGAGAAGATCAACCTCGCCGGCCGTGAGGAGGTACACATTTCCGTTTTTACTTGTCGTTTTTTGTCAATCAATATTGACGTTGATTAACGCGGACGTGAAGTTCGAAAGGAAGACTTCACCAAGGAAAAGATCAACCTGGCCGGGTAGATTATTTTCTTTTCAGACTTCCAATCTTCGATTCTGAGACGTTGTGGAAACGCGAATGTGGAGTTTGAAAGCATGATGACTTTCAATAAGTAAATTAACCTTCCATTGCCGTTGCTTTTGGGTTCACTCCTATGAAATAGTCTGCTCGAAAAAATGTTCACATTGCAATGTTTTCGAACGGATTGCATTATGCGGATTCCCGCGTGCGCGTCTTTCGTTGGTGCGAGTATTGTCGGTTGAGAGTAGCGGAATCATCCACTGAGCTGTCTTAGCGGAGTCCTCGATTTCTGATATCTCTAGTGTCATATTGAAGTGCTTTCTTAACCGAGTCATCGGGCCACTTTATATTCACTGATCGCCGATCGTTGATCGCTGATCGTTGACCCAGATCTCTCTAGCAACACATTCGCTTCATGTTACCATCCTCCGCCACGTCGTTCCCCCCATCAGTACATCGTCCGCGGTGGGCGCAACCTCTACCCGCTGCTCGCGGAGGCCTTCAAGGGCATCAAGAAGATCGGCGTCATCGGCTGGGGCTCGCAGGCAAGTACAGGGTCGTCTTTCTGTTTCCCAGTGTTTTCTGTCTGAAACGACGAGCAGCTTAAACCCTGTTTCTTAGACCTGCGAGCGTTTTTTGAGTCGACCTAAGAATTGTCCTGGAAGTCTTGTAATGCAGTGAAATCTTTGCAATACAATATCCTTGGTAAAAAGAACCCTCTTTTTCGCGTATGTCACTGCGAGCTCCGTCCATCGCAAGTTTTAATCCAGCCGCATATCATCCCCTTGTTTCTTCATATCGCAGAATATCCTTTCTCGCTTCCCCCATGTTGGGTTCTCATCAATATCAAGTTTATCTGTATCGCGTATTTCCACATTGCAGGGGCCCGCTCAGGCGCAGAACATCCGCGACTCGCTCGCTGAGATCAACTCCGACATCACCGTCTCCGTACGTCGCATTATCCTCGCTATTATTCGCACTCTTACGGAAATTTTCGGGAGTGTTTCCTACATTGAAATGCCATTGCATCATCGCATAAAATCGATTGTAGATGTATCGAAACCAGTTCCCCGACTTCAACCACAGTTTGTTGTTGAACGTGGTCGAA